TATAAATATCTTATCAATCTATTATTTTTACATCACAATATTTTACATCAATCTATTATAAGATTCATATATCATACTACATATATTTTAATTGATTACATAATAAAAAATAAAAAAATCTTAGTCAACACATATATGTAGAAACGTTTACAAAAAGTTAAATATCTTATTTATTATTATTATTATTATTATTATTATTATATTTTATTTTTTTCACATTTTTATATTTGGAATAAGCTAAATTTATTATTCAAAACATAATTTGGTAAATTTTTTTAACATAAAAATCAATTAACAATCTGAGGCATCATTAGGACACAAAACTAGTACTCCATCCGTCCCAATATATAGTTCCTGTTTGTGTTTTTTCACGATATTTAAGAAATGGGAGGAGAAAGTGGATGAAGTACATTAAAAGTGGAAAAAAAAAATAGACAAAAGTTAGATAAAAGTACAAGACAAGTGGATATTTTAATTTTAAGGGGAAAAAAGTGAAAGTACAATTATAGACAAAAGTTAGAGAGAGAAATGGAAAAAAGTACAAGACAAAATGGATAATTTAAGGATAAATTAGGAATTTCAATGAATAAAGTTAAAAAAATGAGGGTATAATAGTCTTTACATACTATCCAAAAATAGAAACAGGAACAACATTTTGGATCTCCAAAATAAGAAAACAGGAACTATATATAATATGGGACGGAGGGAGTAGTACTAAAAGTCATACTTCCTCTGTTTTTTAATTATTGCACCACTTGTCTTTAAAGGAAATTTCACAAATATTGCACCATATTTATTTTAGGAAACAAAATATATGTGTTTACACTGTAAATACCCAATATACCCTTGCTTTTAACACTTGATTATTTAGTTTATGTTTACATCACATGGATAATTTTGTACTTTTACCCTTCTATCTCTTCTTTTTTCCACTACCAAAAAAAATATGCCCAACTTTATATGATGCAATAATAAAAGAACGGAGGAAGTATACTACATGGCGGCGCTATGCCATGCCTATGCTGGTTAATCATCAACTCTCCAATTTGCATATATATACTTCTTTCTAATCAATATGATTACGTTTCTTACTTTGATTCTTTAAAGAAGTTAAAATACAAAATTAGAAGAAGACTATTCTAAAATTTGTGTACCTTTACTTTTAAAGAAAACAAAGATAAACAATTATGATGTACATCTAATATAAATATATAATCCTATTACTCATCTACTAGTATATATAGAGTACATATAGTCATATACAAAGCACACCATAAAACAAAACCATTTAGCATGATACTATTACTCATCTTCCTTGCAACAATCTCTCTTATCTTTCTTCTTCAAAAACGAAGGAAGAATGAACCATTTAATCCTCCTCCTGGACCTAAAAGGCTTCCTATTATCGGAAACTTACACCAGTTTGACCCTTCAAAACCTCACATCTACTTTGCTAAGTTAGCAAAGATTTACGGTCCAATCTTGGCTACACGATTCGGAAGTGCACAAGCTGTGGTGGTTCAATCAGCCAAGACGGCGAAAGAGGTCCTTCATACACAGGATCTTAACTTTTGTTACCGGCCATCAATGATCGCAACAGAAAGACTAAGTTATAAAGGGTTAGACTTAGCTTTTGCCCAAAGTTATGGATACTTTAGAGAAATAAAGAAAATATGTGCTGTACATCTTCTTAGTTCTAAAAGAGTGGAGTCTTTTACTCCGATTCGACAAGAGGAAGTCTTGAGGATGGTAAACAAGATTTCTACTCAAATTTCTTCTGGTTTAGAAACAGTTAACTTGAGTGAGTTGCTAATGAGTTTTGCATGCTCCAATATATGCAGAATTGCTTTTGGCAAGAGGTATGTATTACTGTAATACTAATATTAACAACCTCTTGATTTGAATTTGTCAAAATCTATTAGAATTTAAATCATATTCTCATCAAATTAAGTAGCCCTGCTTGCTTCATTGTGTCATATAAGTAATAATGTTGAACAAAGTAACTTATATCAAATTTATCTCAGGTACGATGAAAATGAAGGGTCCAACAGGAGCAGATTTCAAGACCTTCTAAAGGATGTTCAGGCCATGTTCGCAACCTTCTTCTTTACAGATTATTTTCCTTTCATCGGCTGGCTTGATAAGCTAACCGGACAATCATCGAGGCTTGAGAAGACGTTCAAAGGTTTGGATGTGTTTTATGATGAAATCATTAGTGACCATCTTGACCCAAATCGACCTGAATCTGAGGCAGAGGACTTAATTGATGTTTTATTACACCTTAGAAAAGAGCGTGCTTTTACCTTTGATCTGACTTTAGACCACATCAAAGGAGTTCTTATGGTAATTATGTTCTTGTCTTACAATATTTTTTTGTTGTTGTACAATTTGTAAACTGACTGTTTCTGAAGATGTGTTACACAGAATATGTTCGTAGGAGGCTCAGATACAAACTCAGCAATGGTAGTTTGGGCGATGACAGAACTAATTAAGAGCCCAACTGCGATGAAGAAAGTACAAAAAGAAATTCGGAATTCAGCAAAAAACAAGGATTATATTTCAGCAGATGATCTGCCAAAGCTCGAGTATTTTAAAGCTGTGGTCAAAGAAACATTAAGGCTCCGTCCTCCAGTTCCAATGCTAATAGTCAGGAAAACACTAAAAAAATGCACTATAGAAGGGTACGACATACTACCAAAAACCCTCGTGTTTGTTAATGTATGGACTATCGGAAGAGATCCTGAATATTGGAAGAACCCAGAGATATTTATGCCGGAGAGGTTTATGGGAAGTTCAATTGATTATAAAGGGCAAAATTTCGAGTTTATTCCTTTTGGTGCTGGGAGAAAAATGTGCCCTGGAATGCTTCTTGCTGTTGCAAACTTTGAGCTAGCACTAGCCAACTTATTATTCTCTTTTGACTGGGAATTGCCAGCGGGTATGAAAATTCAAGATATTGACACTGATACACTTCCTGGTTTAACTATGAATAAGAAAAATCCACTTTGCCTTGTGGCAAGGAAATATACTAGTAACTAATTTTTCTATCTTAATGATTTACGTTTGTCTTTTGAGATTTAGAGAATGAATAAGAATGTGGGGTACGTGTGCCTTATCAATAATTTCATTTATACATATGTTCGTGTGTCATAACTTATTAATAATATTCCGAGTTTGATGTCTGATTAGTTTGGGTTTGTGGAGTCTTAGATTATGAGTTACGCATGATACGATGATCATGAATCAATGTTTAATGATTTCTATTCTCTTCCTCTTCTCTCCTTTATACTCCGAATTTTTTAGCTCAACACAATTTACTTGGTGAGTTAATAATACCCTTTACAATTTTTGTTATGCTAAAATCAAGTCCAAAATAGAGATTTAGGTAAATAATCCGCCTCACATTTGGTTAGAGAGTATGCCGGGTGACAAAACTTTTTGGTGCAGCAGCCCACACCGTGTAGCAGGGGTTACCCAAGTTATTTTGTTAAGGGTTACCCGAGTTATTCAGCCAGGGGTTACTCGAGTTACTCGGTCAGGGATTACTTGAGGGGTTCGGATAGGAATTACTCGAGGGGTTCACTCGGCCAAGGTTGAGGGGTTACTCGAGTTACTCGGTCAGGGGTCAAGGGTTTACTTGGTCATGGGTTACTCGAGTTACTCGGTCATGGGTTACTCGAGTTTCTCGGTCAGGGGTACTCGAGTTACTTGGTTAGGAGTTATTTAAGGAAATTGGTCAGTGGTTACTCGAGTAATTCGGTCACATGTTATTTAAGGAGTTCAGTCAGGGGTTACTCGGTCGGGGGTTACTTGAGGGTTCAGTTAGGGGTTACTTGAGGGGTTACTCAGTCAGGGGTTAGTTGAGGGGTTAGTCGGTCAAGGTTTGAGGGGTTATTCGGTCAGGGGTTACTCGAGGGGTTCGGTCATGGATAACTCGAGGGGTTACTCGGTCAGAGTTACTTGAGGGGTTTTTTGGTCAGGGGTTACTCGAGGGGTTCGGTCATGGATTACTCGAGGGGTTACTCGGTTAGAGTTACTTGAGGAGTTACTCAGTCAAGAGTAACTCAGGTAACCCCTGACCGAGTAACTCAGGTAACCCCTGATCGAGAAACTCGAGTAACCCCGGCAACTCGAGTAACCCCTGCCGCACGATATAACATGCTGCATACAAAAAATTATATATTGAATTATGTGAATGTTAGCTATTTTAGTTAGGAAAATGATAAACACATAACCCTAATAAGGGATACATATAAGAAGCTAAAAAAGAAAATACAAGAAATAGGAATAACTAGACATTAATTACATACACGGATCTACACGTGATTTTTTTTTTTTTTTTTGTCAAAATTTCCTAAATCAATACCATGTTAGAAAGCGTATCTAATGCTTATATGTAGGATGGGCTACTTATAGCGATACCCTTTTAGTTATTAAGGATTTGAATAGCTTAACTTGCTAATAAAAGAAATCTAGAGTTGAATTGCGTCTACATCATTACCTTTTATTTTAACCTAAAAGAAATCTAGGATCTACACGTGATTTTTTTTTTTTTTTTTGAAAGACAAGGGATACAAAATTGTTGCATACTTAATTAGCAACACTTTGAAAACTTCATTAGTTTTTGCATTAGATAGGTAAGGCCCTGTTCACTACACCTTATATTAGCTTAATTGAAATTATTTTTACTAAGCTGAAATTGTTTTTACTGAACTGAAATTATTTTTACAGATTCTCTATTATATTTCCTCTTTAACTTACTACTTCGTAATTTTTACTGAACCAAAATTATTTTTATTGAAATGAAATTGATTTTAGTGAAGTGAACTTATTTTTATTGAAATGAAATTGATTTTAGTGAAGTGAACTTATTTTTATTGAATACTATATTTTTAAGGTGAAATAATACTCCGTGTTCACGATCATATATACCCACACGGAGTACAAGATTAGTTTTGATAAGGTCGTACATCAAGGTATCACGTGGATAAAAAAAATGGCCACTCACTTTTCATGTAACGCAACTCGTAAAAAAAATATTGTGATATGGAGATTGCAGAAGAGAAAATTTTATACTCAATATCGATCATAAACTTCAGTCTATTGTCTATATATAATTAGTATGGTGTTACAACAGCTAACACAAATATACGCATATGAAACTAACCCCACAACAATAAAGTCATGTTGATAATTATATATTTTCTAGCAATTTTATCCCTAGTAGTACTTTTCCTTCTTCCAAATCGCAAAAAAAATGAGCCATTTCATCCTCCCCCGGGGCCTAAAGGGATCCCCTTCATCGGAAACTTACTCCAATTCGACACCTCGAAACCACACGTCTACTTTGCCGAGCTAGCCAAGACCTACGGCCCGATCTTGAGCTTACGATTTGGACGTGTACCTGTTGTTGTGGTGCAATCAGCCAAGTTAGCAAGGGAGGTCTTACACACACAAGACCTTAACTTTTGTAGTAGACCGTCTATGGTTGGAATTCAAAAGCTAAGTTATAATGGATTAGACATTGCTTTTGCCCCTTATAGTGAGTATCAAATAAAAATTAAAAAGATTAGTATAGTTCATCTTCTTAGCTCTAAAAGAGTTGAATCTTTTGCTCCAATTCGTCAAGAAGAAGTATCGAGGATGATCGAAAAAATTTCATCCCTCTCCGAAGCTTCAGAAATCGTAAATTTGACAGATTTGTTAGCGAACTTCGCAAGGTTGAACGTATGCAGGACTGCATTTGGCAAGAGGTATTACATTAAACTCCCTCATAATTAAGCCTTTTTGTGACCAAACCTTGGAAATCTTGTGCAATTATTTTATGGAAAATTGTTACTCGTAATATTTTGTGTTAAAAACTATAGACTTGTTAGATGTGCTAGCGCGCTTTCTGTGCAGTTGGTCACATCGTGTGACCGCTTGTAACAGAGTATCCCGGCTAACCTCTATAACACTAACAGAGTAGCTCCTATTATACTAACAGAGTAATCTCTTATTATACTTATTGAATAACCCTTAAATAACAAAATAACCCCTACAACACTGACACAGTAATATTCATATTACTACTCCGTAACTTAGTAATTCCTATAATACTAACTAATTAACCCCATAAACACTAACCGAGTAAATAACTGACCACACATTGTAACTATCCACGTTTAAAAATTTACTTTTTACCACTAATTTCTAAAGGTGGAGTTTTGAGAGTATGATTTGAATGTTTGATTGATTTCTATTGTCTATCTGTTGATAAGTATATTAGGTGACTCGTACTTCGTAGCTTTGTCCGCCCGATCGGGCGGACATTGCCCGGTCTGACCGGGCGGAAGAAGAAGAGGTGCCTGGCAAATTCGTTGAAGAAGCTGCTCTCGCGCCCGACCGGGCGAGCCTTCGCCCGACCGGGCGAGCCTTCGCCCGACCGGGCGAGCCTTCGCCCGATCGGGCAGACCTTGCCCGGTCTGACCGGGCGGTGGGGGTTGGATACGTTGAAGCATTCGTATGGAGTTTTCTTCTCGCGCCCGATCGGGCAGACCTTGCCCGGTCTGACCGGGCGGAGAAGGAAAAATACGGAACGCGGATTTTGCGGTTTTAGGTTATCTTATTTTATTATCTTTTTGCCCAAGTATCTTTTAATTAGGGATTAATATAAAACCTCCCTAATATCAGTATTAGGGTGAAGAGAGACAGAGTGAGAGCCGTTCTTGAGAAATACAAGAATCATCTTTGTAATCTTTGCAGTTTATAGTGAAATTCATTCGATCTCGGTGCCCGTGGACGTAGCTATCACATCGATAGTGAACCACGTAAATTCTTGGTGTTGTTCTTATTGTTTGCATTGAATTTCTTTATTGTTTTCTTGTTTGTTTTCGACCTTTGCTTCCGCTGTCGCACAACAATTGGTATCAAGAGCTCAGGTTCAATCCTTGGAGAGTTTCTTGAAGATAACAATGGCAGGAGATTCAACAATAAGAATTGAGAAGTTTACCGAGAAAAATAGTTTCGGGCTATGGCAAATTAAGATGAAGGCTCTGTTAAAACAACAGCAGATATGGCGTCCGTTGGCTCCAAAGAGTACTACTTCGGAGTCAGGAGACGGACCGACTGACTCGCAGTTAGAAGTTATGGAAGAGAAGGCACACTCTACCATATTACTTAGTCTTGATGATCAAATCATCACGGAGGTTGCTGATCAGGAAACGGCGGCTGGATTGTGGCTGAAGCTGGAGTCATTGTATATGACTAAGTCGTTGACCAACAAATTATTACTGAAACAGCGGTTGTTTAGCCTCCGGATGCAGTCAGGTACTTCCTTACGGGAACATCTAGAAAAACTTAACTCTATTTTGCTTGATTTACGTAATTTAGATGTTAAAATTGATGATGAGGATGCTGCGTTGATTTTACTTGTATCTCTACCGTCTAGCTTTGAGAATTTTGTAGAGTCTTTTGTTGTTGGTAAGGATTCTATAACCTTAGAAGAAGTGAAGGCAGCACTTCATACTAGGGAACTCAGAATGAAAGCTACGAGTGATAATGGGGATAATGGTAGTGGGTTATTTGTTAAGTCCGGAAAGTCTAAAAAGAATAAGGGGTTTAACAAGGGGAACAATGCTGGGTCGGGTGCTGGAAACGGCAAGGATGGATCTAGTAAAACTACTACTAAAACATGTTATTACTGTAAAGAACCGGGTCACTTTAGGAATAATTGTCCGGTGAGGAAAAACAAGTCCCAGGCTGCTGTAGTTGAAGAGAAACCGAATGAGAGCTATAATTCAGAGGAAGATTTAGCATTAGTCAGTTCTGCTAGGTCTGATGATTTATCTGATAACTGGGTTCTAGATTCGGGGTGTTCGTTCCATATGTGTCCACGTCGAGATTGGTTTGATACATATGAACCTCGCAATGGGGGTATGGTTATAGTCGGTAACAATGCTCCATGTAAGGTCACAGGTATTGGTTCCATGAGGTTGAGGACTGTTGATGGGCGGAGGTTAACTTTGACTAATGTACGGCATGTTCCTGCTTTAGGAAAGAATCTGATTTCATTGGGTACCCTGGATGACTTGGGGTACAATGGTGTGTTTTCAGATGGGGAGTTGTGTATTTTCAGAGGTTATGAGTTGGTACTTAAGGGTATCAAAAGGAACACCCTCTATGTTTTTGAGGGTGTTACACTGCCTAGTTCTGCGGTTTGCGCATCTGTATCTCACCAGGAGATGACTAAGATTTGGCACATGAGGCTTGGTCATATGGGGGAGAAGGGGATGCAGCTATTGTCCAAGAGGGGTCTTCTATCCGGGGTCAAGGTTGCCAACCTTGAATTTTGTGAGCATTGTGTGTTTGGTAAGAAACACAGGTCAAAGTTCAGCAAGGGTGCTCACATTACTGATGCAGTGCTCGATTACATCCATTCAGATTGCTGGGGTCCATCTAGAGTTGAAGGTATGGGAGGTTACCACTATTTTGTGTCATTTGTTGATGACAAGTCCCGATACACATGGCTTAGGTTGCTTAAGTCAAAGGATGAGGCCTTCAAAGTTTTCAAGCAATGGAAAGCTTTGGTGGAAAATCGACAAGGAAGGAAGATCAAGAAGCTACGAACGGACAATGGGCTAGAGTTTTGCAAAGACGAGTTTAATCAGTTCTGTGCAGATGAGGGTATAGGTCGGCATCATACTGTCAGGAAGACACCACAGCAGAACGGTGTAGCAGAACGGGTTAATCAGACACTGCTAGAGAGAGTTCGATGCATGCTCTCTAATGCAGGGCTTGGGAGGAGGTACTGGAGTGAAGCTGTGTTAACAGCTTGTTATGTCATTAATAGGGGTCCTCATTCTGGAATTGATTCCAAGATTCCGTTTGAGATCTGGAGTGGTAAGTTGCCTAATTTTTCGAATTTGAAGATTTTTGGTTGTGTTGCTTATTATCATGTTATTGAGGGTAAGCTGGATCCACGAGCCAAGAAGGGGTGTTTTGTTGGGTACGGGGATGGTGTGAAGGGGTTTAGAATTTTTTCACCTTCGGAGGGTCGGGTCATTCTTAGTAGGGATGTTACTTTCGATGAAAACACCATGTATTCAATTAAAAATGCAGAGATTTCAGATTTGAGAAGGGAAGGAGACAATTTATTACAGACAGATGGGGTACTTGAGGTACATCAGTCTACCATTGCTGATTTACCTCGGGTACAATATATTGATGATGATGCTGATGTTCCAGTGCCGGGTACTCCTGAACCTGAGATTACTCCTACTCATTCTAACTCTGGGGATGAGGTGGAGCAATCTAATCAGGGGTCATCTAGTCAACCTGACACCATTCTTGAGATGCCTAAACGAGTTATCAAGAAGCCTGTTAGATTGATTGAAGAGATGGAGGGAAGAAATTGCTGTGTTGATGCGATGACAGGTTATGCATTGAGTGTAGCTGATGATGTAGAGTCATTTGAACCTGCCACATATAAACAAGCAATTAGTTGTAGTGAGTCTGCGCAATGGCTTGCCGCAATGGGTGAAGAGATGCAGTCTCTTTACAAGAACAGAGTGTGGGAACTGGTAAAGGTACCGGAAGGGAGGAAGCTTGTGGGTTGTAAATGGATTTACAAGAAGAAAGAAGGGTTGTCGGAAACTGAGCAAATACGTTTTAAGGCTAGGCTAGTTGCTAAGGGGTTCAGTCAGGTAGAAGGGGTTGATTTTGTTGAGATATTCTCACCTGTGGTTCGACATACTTCTATCCGTGTGTTATTGTCAATTGTAGCACATTTTGATCTTGAGCTGGAGCAGTTGGATGTTAAAACGGCTTTCCTTCATGGCGATTTGGAGGAGGAGATTCTGATGAAGCAGCCCGAAGGATTCGAAGCTCCTGGAAAGGAACACTATGCCTGCAGATTGCTAAAGTCATTGTATGGACTTAAGCAATCCCCCCGACAGTGGTACAAAAGGTTTGATTCTTTTATGGTTTCACAAGGTTTTGACAGGAATTCATATGATTGCTGTGTGTATCATAGTAAGCTGGATAATGGTTCCATGATTTATCTTTTGTTATATGTTGATGACATGTTGGTTGCCACAAAGAATAAATCTGATATTGCTAGATTAAAGGAGATGCTTAACTCGGAGTTTGACATGAAAGACTTGGGTGCAGCTAGGAAGATTTTGGGTATGGAGATCTACAGGGATCGGGCTAGAGGTAAGCTTTTCTTGACTCAGAAAAGCTACATTGAAAAGATTTTGTCTCGTTTTGGGATGGAAAAATCGAAGCCTATAAGTACGCCAACTACTGTTAGTTGTAAGTTGTCTTTGTCTATGTCACCTCAATCAGAGGAGGAGTTGTCTTATATGTCTAGAGTTCCATATGCAAACGCGGTTGGTTGTTTGATGTATGCTATGGTCTGTACTAGGCCGGATATTGCGCATGCTGTTAGTGTTGTAAGCAGGTTTATGGCTCGACCTGGGAGGGAACACTGGCAAGGGGTGAAAAGGATTTTTCGCTACCTGAGAGGGACAGCTGATATTGGTCTTGTGTACGGGAATGATAAGGAATGCTTGGTCACTGGGTACAGTGATTCTGATTATGCAGCTGATGTGGATACCAGGAGGTCTGTGACTGGTTATGTGTTCACTTTGGGTGGTTCTGTGGTTAGTTGGAAGTCTACATTGCAGTCATCAGTTACGTTGTCAACTACTGAAGCTGAGTATATGGCTTTAACTTCTGCAGCTAAGGAGTCTATTTGGCTCAAAGGCCTAGTAGGTGAACTGGGTATTGCACAGGATTTTGCTACAGTGTATTGTGATAGTCTAAGTGCGATTTGCTTAGCTAAAGATCAAGTACACCATGATCGGACGAAGCACATTGATGTCAGGTATCATTTCTTACGTACTGACAAGAGGATTAAGGTGAAGAAGATTGGGACTGCTGACAACCCGGCTGATTTCTTCACTAAGCCTGTTCCGTTTAGCAAGTTTAAACATTGCTTAGACTTGCTAAATATTGATTACTACGTGATGTAGTAGGCCCTGAGGGGCGAAGTTGGGGAGCTCCTGGTGTAGGTGTGTTGGCATTAAGGTGGAGCTTGCCCGGGGCTTGTGATGCAGGTGGAGCATTATGATTTGTTATACTTGGAGACGAGTATGTGATGGGTCTTGGTTGAAGACTTATCGGGATGTATGGCTTATGCATGAGTCCTGCATCGGGTTTGGCTTGAGATGTTTTTTCACTATGTCTTGATGGGGTCGTTTGCTGACTACGAGTTCTCGTCAAGGTGGAGATTGTTGATAAGTATATTAGGTGACTCGTACTTCGTAGCTTTGTCCGCCCGATCGGGCGGACATTGCCCGGTCTGACCGGGCGGAAGAAGAAGAGGTGCCTGGCAAATTCGTTGAAGAAGCTGCTCTCGCGCCCGACCGGGCGAGCCTTCGCCCGACCGGGCGAGCCTTCGCCCGATCGGGCAGACCTTGCCCGGTCTGACCGGGCGGTGGGGGTTGGATACGTTGAAGCATTCGTATGGAGTTTTCTTCTCGCGCCCGATCGGGCAGACCTTGCCCGGTCTGACCGGGCGGAGAAGGAAAAATACGGAACGCGGATTTTGCGGTTTTAGGTTATCTTATTTTATTATCTTTTTGCCCAAGTATCTTTTAATTAGGGATTAATATAAAACCTCCCTAATATCAGTATTAGGGTGAAGAGAGACAGAGTGAGAGCCGTTCTTGAGAAATACAAGAATCATCTTTGTAATCTTTGCAGTTTATAGTGAAATTCATTCGATCTCGGTGCCCGTGGACGTAGCTATCACATCGATAGTGAACCACGTAAATTCTTGGTGTTGTTCTTATTGTTTGCATTGAATTTCTTTATTGTTTTCTTGTTTGTTTTCGACCTTTGCTTCCGCTGTCGCACAACACTATCTAACTTGTTACGTGTAAGTAAGTGTAAGGGGTAACGGTGTAAGATTAGAAAAATGTAGGATTGAACTTGTCTAGAGATAAGCCTTATCCTATTTTTATCCACACAAAAAGAATGAAAGATAGTAAAAGAAAATGGCGGGAACTAAAAGGCAGAATTTAGGCTTGGCAAAAACAGTGATCCATTTATGGTCAAGGAGTCAGACTGAACTAGGCCAATCAACTTTATATGCACCTTTATAAGTACTCACTAAAATTTCCATTATACATTTTAATCTGCATAAAAGTCAACTACTTCGTATATTTATGGGCCTGTGTGACATCCTGAGTCAAGTTATTATATTAGAAAAAAAAAATTTAAATTTCTATTATTATACATAAAATCCATATTCTCCTTTAATTTATTAATTTTTTTCTTAAAAATTATGTAATATGATATGGATCAATAGTTATGTCTCTAATATAAAATTTAAACACATATAAATTAAGGCTTGATACAAAAGAGAGAATGCTACAAGCCTACAACGCTACATGACTCATAAACTAGTTTAGGAACTTTAATTTGTGTCAAAGCTAAATCAAGTAGTAGTTGGTCTAGTACTCTAGTGGTAAAAATTATATCAGTAATCAAGTAAACATAGCCTTAGTTTAAATTTGTATATTTCAATTCAGGTACGAGGATGATAAAAGGTCAAGTAGCAGATTTCACAAGCTAATAAGAGAAGCAGAAGCCATGTTTACCACCTTCTTCTTTAGTGATTATTTTCCTTCTATTATTGGGTGGCTTGATAAGCTAACCGGAAAGTTCTCTAGACTTGAGAAGACATTTAAGGATTTAGATGCATTCTTTGAAGAAATCATTAATGATCATCTTGACCCAAACAAGCCTAAAACCGAGCGAGAAGATATCGTTGATGTTCTACTCCAACTCATGAATGAACGCTCATTTGAGCTCACGTTAGACCACATCAAAGCAGTGTTAATGGTAGTTTCATCTTATACTTATTGTACGTATATTGGCATGAATATCCACCCTCAAATGATGTTTTTGCTTTACAAGTTTCATTAACATTTACAGCTTTAAAGTTGGTAATAAAAACATATAAGAAAAAAAAAAAAAACACATAATAGAAAAAGGAGATCCATTACTATAGTTTCTAGTATGAGACTATCATTATGAAGCACAACGGAGTATCTTTTATTTATTTATTTATTTATTTATTTATTTATTTATTGTTATATGCATTCTTATGAAATCACTCTAATGGTGCCAACTCGCTAAACCTTTCTACAGGTCATATTAATAGCAGGAACGGATACAAGTGCAGCCATGGTAATTTGGGCAATGACAGAGCTAATGAAGAGCCCTATTTCTATGAAAAAAGTACAAGAAGAGCTCCGTAATGTCATGCAACACAAAGGATGCATCAACAATAATGACCTCATACGACTTGAATACTTCAAGGCAGTGGTGAAAGAAACATTTAGGCTACAACCAGCAACACCATTGCTAATTGTACATGAAACAATCCGAAAAAGCACCATTGAAGGATATGATATATTACCTAAAACTTTAGTATATGTGAATGCATGGGCTATTGGAAGAGATCCCGAAATTTGGTCAAACCCGGAAAAATTCATGCCAGAAAGGTTTTTGGGTAGTTCAATAGAGTTCAAAGGATGTGACTTTGAACTAATCCCATTTGGTGCAGGAAGAAGAATATGCCCTGGAATTCATCTTGGTATAGCTAACATGGAATTAGCACTTGCAAATTTGTTGTGCTATTTTGATTGGGAATTGCCTAGTGGTTTTAAGAAGGAAGACATCGACAATGATACATTCCCAGGCATCACCATGCATAAGAAAAATCCATTATGCCTTTTGGCAAAATTTTTTTTATAAAATTTAAATACAAGTTATCATGAAAATTAAATTCTACTAAATATATAAGAAATAATGTAATCATGTGGGATTTTGTTACATTCATCTTATTATGTATTTTATCAATGATTTAAATTTTTATAATCTTTACTTGTATGGAAATGGAGATATATACGTTCTAAGACACGTTTTATAACCCGTAAAAAGTCAAATGGAACAAAAAAATTAGGAACGGATAGTGTATGTCTTATGTAAACCAATCAAATATCAAATGAAGGTCTATTCGGACTATTCTCGTATCCATACATACATGCGGGACAACTTCTCTAAATTCTAAAGGCAAATTTGGTCATAACAGTCAACACCCTAAATAATTATAGTTTAGGTGCAGTCAACACCTTGAACTTTAACTAGTAGCTAGAATACCGCCAACACATACAAAAAATTAATGATAATAGTACGTATAAAAAAAAAAATATACTTGTATTATTAATTACCCTGCTATTCTATCTAATTTAACAGACACCTATATAATATTTTGATATAAGAAACTAAAGCTGGCTTTACTTACAAGTTACAACATGCTCCGTATTCCATAAAATATGGTTTTTCATCTTCGTTTTACTTTTCACCATTCCATTAATATTGTGACATGGGGATGTGCACAAGATTTTAACTAGTGAAATAAGAAAGAGATAAAATGGAAAATTTACAAACTCCTTTTGATTGGAAAATTTAAAGTAATGAGTTTTAAAAATTAAGGGTATATTAATTGGACATTTACAGTGTAAGAGGAGATATATGTTATTGTATTTGTGAAAATTCTTAAAGAGATTTAAGTGATTAACACTATTGTAAAATACTCTGTAATAGTAGAACTGTTTAAGTACTCTTCAATTGGGGTGGGGCGAAGTTATCAGGTGGGTAGATCCACTAGAGAATGGGCGGAACTAGGGGCGGGCTAAGCCATGGTCTGCATGCCCAAGCCCATAATTATGTTTTAAAAACATATATTCTACTTGTATTTCGTTGGGTATTTTGTTGACACATTTAACTTTTAACACTATAATATATTTACAAATATACTTTGATTATGTTTAGTGATTCATATATAGTTATTTATGATAAAATATAGTTCTTCACCAAAAAAGAAATGATAAAATATAGTTATGTAGAAACTTGTTATAATTATATCTCTATATATTTTCAAAATATCAATTTTATAATTTTACTGATTGATAATAGAAATATTAATTGTCAAATTTGCATATTGGTAAACGTGATATGAAAAATGTGTCCACTAATTAAAAACGAAGGAAATATATAATTTCACTTATCTTACTAAAAGAGGGCTAGCTAGCAAAGTTGGATTTTAATCAAACTATTTTGTTGTTTTATTTGTTGCTTTTTTTTTTCCCTAATGTCAATTTTGGCTATAGGGACTGTTTTAGCAGAGTTTAGTGGATCATTATTATTTGACTAGATAGAATTAATACGTAGGACTTTAATAATTGAACTATGAATCATAAGGTTAGCTTTACATCAATTCTTGAATTTATAAGTCAATTTTGGAGTCTGTAGGGAATATTTCGATCAACACTAACTTTGAGCCTCACTGTGATCATGCACTTAAGCATAGTGACGTCCAAAGGGAAAGAAGCTAGAACAAAAGAGTCGCCAACAAGTTTTAGGAACTTGTAATCCGTTCACGGGTGTGAAGGTTACACCCCATTCACGATCACGGAGATCGCTAACTCTATAGCGGGCCGTAACCATGATTTAATATTCGGTGATGATGGTACGAATCCAATCTAAAAGAGATTGAACTCGCCTTAAATTGACCTCTAATTATTTCTTATGATATACATGTGCGCTTTCCAATCAACATACATACAACAAATTAGCCCTAAACTTGTTTAATCTACGTTGGTTGATTATTAATGCACAAATAAATCTATTATTGGCGATCACTTGAATTAAAATCATATTAAGCCTAAAACAAATTATTAATTATCTTATTAGGCGTGATTTCAAGTACAAATTCCTTTTAAACTTGCAAGAAAGGGCGTGATCAAGCAATAACAATAAATATTGAATAATCAAGCAACATAATAATTAATAATTGCCACAACAAATCATTATCATAATAATAAAACAATACCTCCAAAATAATATTAGCAAGATCCTAGGCATGATACTAAATGGATTAATAACAAACCCTAGCATGTCACTAAACAATAAAAATCAAAGATTTAACCTAAACATGATACTAGGAATCAAAATCAACATCCTAACATGATACTAGGAATTATAAAGGCATCCTAACATGATACTAGAAAGTATAAAAGCATCTAAACATGGTAATAGGAATTAAAATAATATTCTAAGCATGATTCTTATATCAAAAGCGAGGAATAAAGATAGTAGATCTACTCACTTTGATGCCTCGTATCTCTTCCTATCAAAACAATACACTTGTTAGTAACTTCAAGAAAGATTAAATCAAACAAACCACATAAATCAAATAAGAATCGAAATATAGATTAGGGACCAAACCCTCAGAATTATCAACCTTAGCTTTCACGTCGAAGGCGAAGGCAACTTCGAGCTTGGCTAGGTATATGTGTTTAGGCTGAGGTTAAGAAAATCAAGAGAGAGAGAAAATGAATAAGCTTTAGCTTCGAGAGAGAGAAGGATGATGATTGTTGGTGATCAAGCTTGTTGATGATTGAAAACGGGGTGAAACGACCTCTAGTTATAGAGAAAAAACGACTGAAAAGATCAGAAAACGATCCGAATTCCATCCGGAATAAAACAGGTTTCATCGCGTGGCGATGGATCCATCGCGTCGCGATGGGGATATCGCGTCGCGATATTTTCATCGCTGTGCGATGCTATTCAGAAGATAAAGACTCGTACAGAATCCGACTTCCAATAAAATTGGGTTAGTCGAATATTCGTACTTATCCTTATTATCAGATGAAATCTATAAAAAAACACTCGTTTTATTCGAAATAAAATTCTTAATCATTATCTTTCCAAAACAGGATAATTAGAATCTAAAACAACCTTCTAGAAGATTCTAGAAGATTAAGATAAATCCTAATGGTTTTAGAAATATAATGGACCCTCCACATGATCATTGGGTCCGCATATAAAGCTCGGTTTGGACCATAATTTAGTATTATGGCCATAACTTGCGGTTATAACTTGGATTTGGGCTTATAATATATCGTTGGAAAGCTCTTTTCAAACCCCATCCAATTACACAATTATTGGATCCAGATTATGGGTCAAAATAAACTGGATTGGACGTTTAGAATGATTTTAGAAATACGAAATGAATCAAAACATTTTAGAAAAGAGATTAGAAAAGGAGAAATTTACGAGACTCTTCAACATTTCACCTTATTCAATAATCAAATATGTGAAAGATACTCATCACTGGGTTTGGTTTTTGGGGAGACACAATCAGGTGTCTACAGAGTCTTAATTACTTCATGTTATGGCCTAATTAACTCACATAAATTATTTACCATGCAAGTCAAATCACATTCAATCTCACCAAAATGATATGCTCAATTTCTTATGGTCAAACTCTAATAATTGTGACTAAATATTTCCATTAATACATTTAATAAATATATAGTTATGTGAGATATTGATGGATTCATTTTTGTCAACTTATATAATATCAATTTTTTTTTTTTTTTGTTAATACATAATTAAATATATTGATGGTCAAAGATACATTTAGAACATCGTGCAAAATAGAAATAAATAATAAATCATATTGGAAGGGAGGGAGATGGAGATGTTTTTCTTTTTTATGATAATCCTCAAATATATATACAAGTATATTTTTTAAAAATACCAAAAGATAATCAAAAAGACATATCATATACAATATTCATGTTTCAACTAAGAAGCAAATAAAGTTAAGCAAACATACATATGACATTATTGCATATGTATAGCCATTTTAGTCCACTCGCATATTAGTACAAAAAAATAAAATGGGTGACAAGAGAAAGATTATATCACGAGTACTTTTATTAGGAATTTTTTTCTTAAAAAAAGCCCTAATCTTTTTTATTTAATTTTATTTTCTTGTATATATATTTACGCATGCATCTGTGTATGTAGAACAAGTTTAATATTTCTTTCATTTTATTTTAAATGCAACACACTTTCTTGATATCCATTTTGTGACATTAAGCAATTGTAAACCGATAAATTAATCAAAATAATTTATACATGCATATAGTATATATTTAACCTTTCTCTAATCTTAATATTCAAATTATTTTAATAAAGTTACTCATTTACCTACTTTAATCAACTCTTATAAAACCGTGCCAAAAAAATATAAGTATTGTATTTTTAAAGATTACTCTGTATAGAGGTAGTATAAGGTGGTTTGATTGGAAGATAATTTTCTTGGAAATGGAATTTCCTAGGAAGTATTAAAATGAGGGTGTGTTTGGTTGGAGGGAAATAAGCTAAACACGGGAAATAGCAATTTCAAGGGAAATACAAATTCCCACAACCCATGGGAAATTACTCACCAACTCCCCCCTTAGTGAGTTGAATTTCCTAAAAAATGCAATTTCATATACTGTCAACCAAACAATTTAGCTTAATTCCTAAAAAAATCATAAAGGAAATTTTTTTCCATAAAATATAAATTTCCATGAAAAGTTAATTTCCATATAAACCAAACGAGCACTAAGGATAGGAAATATCTGTGGATCCTCTCATCCAAATAAGTCGTTTTCCAAGCTTAGACCAATATTGCAATTATTGGTTTGACACACATAGAGATAACACAATTTGAGAGTTGAGACAAATTGTCAGATCAAATCAAAAGATCACCAAACCCAAATTTGGAATAAGACATGCTCCCCTAGCTACGCCATAAGAAAACAAAAACAATTATTGATTGTTGTTTGTACAAACGATTGTTAATAACGGATTACTCTCCTCATATTTGTAATGCATGTGCTGAATTGTTGTGGTTGAGAAGATTTTAATTAATTGACCCACATAAATGATACGAAGTACAATTATTTATTTCAATATTTTGTAAAGAAAAAAAGCTATTTACAGCCATTAAAGCTATATATATATATATATATATATATATATATATATATATATATATATATATATATATATATATATATATAACATTAATTACGCTAATATTAAATTGTTAATTCTTAGTTTTAAGGGCTATAACGTATGACCCTATAACACTAACAGAGTAACCCTTATACTAATAGACTAACCTCTTATTATACTTATTGGGTAAATTTTAAATATTCCAAAATCTTTTGATATACTCCTCTAATCCCTGTTACTTAAAATGATTTTAAATTAAATTATTTAGCCTAGACTTTCTTATATTACTGTCATCATCTCTGAAGTGATATGGTTTTATTTTCATAAATTTTTTAACAATAAAAAAGGTTTAACTCCCTAACCTTTATATTATTTGAAAAAAAAAAAAAAATTCTAAAACATGAAATGTCATCCAATAATTAAAAAAAAAAGTAATTCAGTATTAATACATAGTAGTTGTTAAATCTTCTTGAAATACTCTTTACGTATAAATTGTATTTTTGTTTTTTTTTAAGTATCATATACAAATTTTCATTACAGTATCATATACAACTTTTCATATGAATTTTGGTTTGTTATTTACATGTTACGAGTATATATATTGTGAGCATGTTAAAAGAAGATTGTTGTAATATTATTACAATATAGTAGTTGATATATTTCATACTTGTATGTTCTTTATTGAAATTGTACTTAAATTAACATCTATTTTCTTATAATAATAATAATAATAATAATAATAATAATAATAATAATAATAATAATAATAATAATAATAATAATAATAATAAATCATATCAACTTTATCACAACAATAAATTCCGTAGTTAAAAAAAAAAAGAAAAAAAAAGAAAGAAAAAGTATCAAAATTAATAACAATATAAATATGTGATCCTAATCGCAAGTTAGGCCTTATACGCTAGCGACATATCAAGTGTTTGTGGAGAGCCATACACTGCTTAAATGCATGTGATAAAATCGCTGATAAGATAGCATCACTCTTAAGACTTCACCGACTACATTAATAACTATAAATCTCCCTACTTTGTTGCAAAATACTAATTAATTACACACATTCATGAATATATAGTTGAAGAATAGCAAGAAAAAGAAAATATGTTACTCTTCCTCTTATTCATTGCATCAATTTCTCTTATTTATCTTCATCTAAAACGCAAAAAAAATGAACAATTTAATCTACCACCCGGACCTAAAGGCCTTCCTATTATTGGAAACCTTCACCAATTTGATCCCATAAACCCTCATCTCTACTTTACCAAGCAAGGAAAAATCTATGGCCCTATCTTTAGTTTTCGAATCGGAAATCGATTGATGGTTGTGATTCAATCAGCTAAGATGGCCAAAGAGGTGTTACAAGTACAAGATAAAAACTTTTGTAACAGACAAGTGTTGGTTGGTGGAAAAAGGCTAACTTACAATGGTTTAGACGTTGTTTTTGCTCCATATGGTGAGTATTACAGAGAAATTAAGAAGATTTTTGTGGTTCATCTACTAAGTTCCAAGAGAGTGCAGTCTTTTGCTCCAATTCGACACGAAGAAGTCTCAAGGATCATTCAAAAGATCTCATCTCTTTCGTCTGAAAACAAAGTTGTCAATTTGAGTGAATTGTTGTTTAATTGTGCATGTTCTACCATATGCAAGATTGCTTTTGGAAAACGGTACGTACTACTCTTGCCCAAGCTCGCTAACAAATTTTATTTATTAGGAGGTGAACGCAATTAACTGCATGATGTTAAATTGTATATCATCTCGAATAGTGTGGATTTTTAGAAATTATAATTGCATTTTTTTTTTATGCATATTAAAAGAAAACATCTAATAAACATAATCCATGGCTTATTGGCTTAAATGCATACATACAAACAAACACTTCAAAAAAAAATGGAATTAATAGTTAAAAAAATAAAGAATTTTTGTCCAAATTAATAAGTCTAGTTGAGTGTATAAGAAATACTACGATATAGATAAGGTGGTAAACTTTTAACTATCAATTTTTGTTGATCATCATTTAAAGATCCCCCCTTTTTTTTTTCTTTAGATTACAAAGCATTTTCTAATTTGATAACCAAAGTCGGCCAAAAAAAAATTAAAATAAATAAATAAATAAATAAACTTTTTCGAAATTGCTTTAGTCATCAATGAAATATGATAATATTTTTCATTTTAGACAATGTTTTTAGTTCAGCTCAGCTTAACTCAATTTATTATTAATCTACTTCAATACAGTTCAAAAAAACAAGGTCGAAGGCGGCAAGGCCTATTTTTTTTATTGGGTTTTTTCAAATATCATTGTTGCAAAGTTAAAGGAAAATGATAAAAGTTGCTTATTAGTAGTTCAGATAAAAAATGTGACTCGTACTGTTACTTAGAAATAGAGGAAGTTTATTACGGAGAAATTCTTATGCCTTGCTTCATATACAGTTACGAGGATGATGAAGGGACAAGGAGTAGATTCCATGACCTTTTGAATGAAGCTCAAGCCTTGTTCGCCGGCTTCTTCTTTACGGATTACTTCCCTTACACCGGCTGGCTTGATAAGCTAATTACTGGAAAATATTCAAAACTTGAGAAAACATTCAAGAAATTCGAAGAGTTTTATAAAGAAGTCATTGATGAACATCTTGACCTAAAGAGACCTAAATCTGATAGAGAAGACATGGTTGACATTCTACTCCAACTCAAGAAAGAGCGTCTCTTTTCATTTGAGCTCACTATGGATCACATTAAGGCAATGTTAATGGTAAATATTCTTACATTCACTCATTTATATAATACACATTTATTCAAATAACATTTCTTTGTTTGAAGATTTATAGTAAAACCTTTCAAATTTCACAAGTTTTAAGAAGCCTATATATGACTATAAGAGATACTTAAAAAAATAAAAAAAAAAAATAAGGGATGCTACCATGATGATAGAGGTTAGAGACAACCAGACAAATTGGAACGCTGTGTTGCGACTTTTGAGTTTAAAGTGCAACAAGTATTTGAAGAACGAAGGAAATATAGGCGATGGAGTCATTATTTTGATGGTCTAACTAAAGCATAGTTCTCCTCAAATTATTAAAAAAAATCAGCAAAAAAAAAAAAAAGAAAAAACAAAATTAAATTGAGTTCGGAAAATATAAGTAAAGCTTAGCTAAGTAAAAATAAGTATATTAGTTAAAATTAATCCGTCTTAGCATGCAATAACCTTTGGAAATAGGGTGAAATGATAATAGGCTCTCCACTTGGGCCTAGTGAAATCTAAAAACTAGGCCAATTTTTATTTGGTAATCCCATATTGGCCATATACACATAGTAATTTACTTGTACGACGATCACGTACAAGTACAACTACAATTACATTGTCCGGTTAGGTCATAAATGGCAAGAGATCGTAGGAAAAAAAATAATAATTAAGCTTTATGTTGCAAGAATTAAAAAAATATATATGTATAAAATGACAATCAAGCTATTCATATTTCAAAATAAATGTGTCTTAGTCAACAATTTAGCTTTTCTCATCATTCTCATGAATTAAATGTTTAAAACATATGTTAGCGAGAACAGAGAATTTAAGTGCTAAATGCTCATAATTTCTCAGATTTTCATATTAGCAGGAGCAGAGTATTTAATTGTTAAATGCTCATAAAATCTCAGGATATCATATTAGCAGGAACAGACACCAGTGCAACTATGGTAATTTGGGTAATGACTATGTTACTAAAAAATCCCAACGCAATGAAGAAAGTTCAAAGCGAGCTTAGGAATAAAATTCAAAACAAATGTTTTATCGAAGAAGGTGATCTCTCAAATCTCGAATATTTCAAGGCAGTAGTGAAGGAAACATTCCGACTACACCCAGCAGCTCCATTATTGATTCCACGAAAAACATTGCAAAATTGCACCATCGAAGGATTTGATATTCAATCCAAGACTATATTATATGTCAACTTATGGGCTATTAGTAGAGATCCTAAAATTTGGAAAGACCCTGATGTATTTATGCCAGAGAGGTTTTTGGAATGTTCAATAAATTTCCTAGGGCAAGATTTCGAGCTAATTCCTTTTGGAGCTGGAAGAAGAATATGTCCTGGCCTTCATCTTGGTGTTGCTAGCTTGGATATTATGCTTGCCAATTTACTATACTTTTTTGATTGGGAACTGCCTAGTGGTTTAAGGAGGGACGACATTGACACTGAGGTGCAGCTTGGAGTAACAATGCATAAGAAAAATCCTCTTTGTCTTTTAGCAAATAAATATTATTAAGATGTTTAAATTTCAGATATGTATGGAGTAATGACATCAATACCAAGGCGTTAAAAAAATTGTTACGTATCAATACAATTTGTGAAAATTACACCTTCATAATCCCAACTATTAGCGATTTACTTCTAATAATCCCAACTAAGATTTATTATCTAATATTCCAATTATGGGGTCACTTTGCCTCTAGTAATCACAATAACCGGTAACCAATTGAAAGGGTAATAATTTTTTTTAATTAAAAAGCCACGTGTCAGCAACTGATTGCTCCAAATTTTTTTTTAAAAAAAAAAACAAAAGAAAAATCAATCCCTGCCACCCCAAACCCCACAATGAAACCCTAGCCCACCCACAAACCTCCCCGGAAAGAAACCGGCCAGCCTCCCCCTTAACCCCTGAAAACGGTTGACCTACCACCCTTGAGATCACTGTAACCCTTCCCTTCCCCCTTCTCGGTCCCTAACTCCTCCCCTCCCCTCGAAAATTAAAACCCCTTATGACTCCACTCCGACCGTCGAAAACACCCGGCTAAACTTTCCTCCACCCTGAAACCCTAGCAGGGTTTCGTGGGGGGGGGAGTTTGGCTGGGTGTTTCCGGCAGTTGGGGAAGAGTTATAAGGGGTTCTAATTTTCGAAAGTGGAGGGTTACGTGCAGTGGAGGGTTGCGGTGGTTAAGTCAGGGGGTATAGCCGGCGCCGGCGATCGGGGGAGGGGGGTTTTGGGCGCTGGCCGGCGCCGGGGGCAAGGTTGTCAGGCTGGGAATAGGTGGCAGTGGGGTGGCTGGCGTGGTGAAAGGTGTTTTTTTAAAAAAAATTTGTAATTTTTTTTTTAATTATATTTTTTTTGGATTAATCATATCACGTGTGACACGCGGCTTGGTAATCTGTAATAAAAGGTTGTTGACCGGTTGGAACTATTAGAGGCAAAATGACACGTAGTTGGGATTATTAGATAATAAACCTTAGTTGGGATTATTAAAAGTAAATCGGCAACAGTTGGGATTATTAAAGTGCATTTTTCTTACAATTTGTTTAAGGTTCCTTGATTGAGCTTAATCATTTAACACGAGTAATTTCTTTTTCTATGTTGTCTTTTGTTGTTTTTCTTTTGTTAATTCATCTTAAACACACAATCAAATATTATTATTGTTCTCACTTTCTCCTATCTTAATTGCAAAACAATAAACAATAACCACCTGTGCGGCTGGCCACACCATGTGGCCACTTGTAAAAAAAATCGAGTAATCCCTTAACACTGACCGAGTTACCCCTGTAACGCTGACCGAGTAATCCCTATAACACTGACCGAGTAACCCATGTAATATTATTGACCAAAATACCCCTATAACACTCACCTAGTAACCCTTATAATACTCACGAAGTAACCTCTGTAACACTGATCGAGTAACCCCTAAAACACTAACGAAGTAACCTCGTGTGGCCAACCACATACTTCCTTCGTTTTTTTTTACTTGCAACAGTTTGACTTTTACACTATTCACATATCTCACTTTGACTAGCTTTGGTGATTTATAGGTTGGGAAAAATATAGTCATGTGGGACCTTGTTTTACTCGTCTCGATTTATACTTTCAAAATACCAAATTTTTATAAATTGGTAATCAAAGATATTAATGATTGAAATAGTGCATTGACAAGCGTGAAAAGAGAAGTGTTGCAAGTATTAAGAAACAGAGAAAGTATAAGAATTTGACATGTGAATTTTATAAAGATGAAGAGAGCAGGGCCTAAATCTTCATCTAAAATATGACAATTCTATCAGTGAGAATTTACTATGTACCATCACAAATTAAGATCCTATCATATCTCTATTATATAAGGCAGGGAGGAGGTTGTGGTGTCTCATGAAATTACGTTACCCTTCTACCCTTGGACACCATGACCTCCTCCCTTAGCCTATCGCCTATGTATACTATAAAATAGAGATTTAAAATTTATCAAGAAAAATAATAGGAAATTAAAGTCAAATTAGTTTTTTTTTTATATTTTTTTTTATTTTTTTGTGTTTCACCAATTTCACCTTTTGGGATCGAATATGCGGTGCTTCCTACCATGTGCAATCACAATTACCACTGCACCAACAGTTAATTGGTCTCAAATTAGCTTAAGTATTTTTTTTTTTTTTGGGAGGAAAACACATTAGCTTAGTTGATTATGGAAAAATTTGCTTAAATAAGCAAGATAATTAATATGCCTCTAAAATAAATTTATGGCTAAAGAAAATTCTGTATCATGGCAACTCATCTCCATTATTTCTATTACTATCTCTATTAAGGTGTGGGGTGAGGGTCCACATAAATACCTATATTACCCCTATCTCTTTTAATATTCAAATCGTCTAAAAATTACAATAATGTGTACTATAAGGAGGAAAGACATTTCCTCAAAAAAAAAAAAAAAAAAAAAAAAAAAAGTAAAGACTTATATATTTTTTAAACATAAATATATTTTTTCTGATTAAGTAATTAATTTGATTAAATAATTCTTCTAGCCTTTTTAAATTGATTTTTATTATTTGTTCATCACACTTTAATGTTATAACCACATATTTTCAACTTTTTTGCCTACTTTGTTTGCCATATTAAGGTTAAAAAATTACCCCGAAATCAAAATTCACTCGATGCCACTATTAGCTGAGGATTAAGGACATTATTTTTTTGGTTGTCTCATGCACAAAACGGATAATTTATGATTTTTTTACACGCAATTCAAAATTGTTTTCCTAGAGAATCCATATTTGATTCAATTAAGCTAGTATGACTCCTTTTAATGGTTTGCGACAGGGAGACCCTGTCTCTGTATCTCTTTATTATTGTGATTGATGCTTTCTCTCACATGTTACGGAAGAAGGTGTCTTTAGGGGAGATTCACGGTGTGAAGGCTAGCAAGAATGGCTCATTCTTTTTGCAGATGATAGCCTTTTCTTTACTAGGGCCACTAGACAAGAATGCTCAGTAATTGTTGATATTCTCAACCAGTACGAAGCAGCATTCGGAGAAAAAAATAATTATGAAAAATCAGAGGTGTCTTTTAGTAGAGGAGTGAGGGTGGAGCAAAAGGAGGAGCTTATGAGGATTTTGAGTATAAGACAGGTGGAGAAGCACGAGAAATATCTCGGGATCCCGAATGTTCTTGTTTGTTTAAAAAGAATTGTGTTCAAAGCTTCGCTTGACATGACAGAATTTGGAAAAAGCTCCAAGGTTGGAAGGAAAAGCTAGCTAGCTATTGTCTCAGGCGGGAAAGGAGATCTTGCTCAAGTCAGTTATCCAAGCAATCTCGACTTATCTTATGGGGGTTTACAAGTTTCCAATGGAGGTTATTAATAAATTGCATTCTCTGATGACGGGGTGAGAATGGAGATAAAAGACGTATACATTGGAAACAAAGTTATTAAAATTGGGATTCTACTTTGAATTGGAAAGGGCTCTCAGAATCAAATCGTAAAATCGAATCGTAGAATCGTAAAATTTAACCGACATGCATAATTAAGAGGTCATATCTAAATTTAATTAAATATATTTAAATTATGAATTTGAAACCTAAACTATTAATAGGAAATAGTTATTTACCCATTAAGAAACAAATAATTGACAATATATATTTATAAATAACTATGTAGGTATGTTTTAAATTTGTAAGGATTTCGTTAGTTAAGAGAAATATGTAAAATCAGGTAGAATCGTAAATCGAATCGTATAACATATGTAAATCATAAAATCGTAAGATCTAAGATTCAAATCGGGATTTTAATAACAATGATTGGAAGAGTTGGGACTCCCTATGCACTCTCAAATGCTTAGGGGGTATGGGGTTTAGGGACTTAGCCATTTTTAATGATGCTCTTTTGGGACGACAAGCGTGGAGACTTACTAGTAAAACCGATTCTTTGCTTGGTAAGGTGATGAAGGCAAAATATTATCCTCGATGTGATTTCCTTGACTCTCATTTAGATATGGTGGTAGCTTTTCTTGGCGTAGTATTTGGAGTTTGAAGGCTCTAATTAAGGAGAATATGCTATGGAAGGTCGGAAATGGTGATCAAATCGGAATCTGGAATGAGCCCTGGTTGGTTGATGATCATTCTCGCTTTGCAACTAGCCCCCCTTCAACCGAAGTTGAGAAAGTTAGTGACTTGATTAAATTTAAAAAATTGGAGTGGGACTGGGATGTGGTGAATTCGCACTTCAACGAACGTGTCAGGAATGACATTATGGTTATTCCCTTAAGCTCTCGTCTCCCTCGTGATGAATTGACTTGGGCGTTTTCAAAAGACGGGAACTATTCCGTAAAGATGGCATGTATGCTAGGCAAGGGGTGTGATTTGATGATTTTCATAATGCGTGGGTTGAAATTTGGAAGGCAAATGTCTGTCTGAAGGCAAGGAATTTCCTGTGGCGTCTGTGCACCCAAATCTTCCCTGTGCGAAGCTTGCTGAAATATCGACATTTGACTGATGATGATAGTTGCCCCTGGTGCGAGAACAACGTGGAGTCTTGGAGTCATATTTTTTTCGAATGTGAGAGAACTAGTAGTTTGCGGGAATATGCTGACTGTTCAGAGATCTGTGCAAAAAAAAATTCTGGTACACCCTGTGAGTTAATTGATAGCTGGAAAGAGATTAGCCCGAAGACAAAAATTCGAGGGTTGTATCTGCTTAGGGGAACTGGCAGGAGCGTAATTTGAAGGTTTTTCAACAGAAGGAAACACTTTCTTCTATGTTGCTAGATCGTGTCTTCAGGTGGGTGGACGAAAACGAAAGGTATGTCAAAGCTATCTACTCTACGTCTTTGAACTCTTATCGCTCTAGCCCTGGTATCTGGCAACTCCCACCCAATGATGTAATAAAAATCAACACTGATGCGTCCCTGGTGGATGAGGGCTGGGTGGGTTTAGGTGTGGTGGCGCATGGAAGTTGCGGAGGCAAAAGCCATAGTGATGGCGTTGAGGCTGGGGCGAAAGTATGGTTGTGATAGAGCCATCATTGAATTAGACTGCCAGGTTGCCATAAACCGCTTGACGAAAGGAGCTACGCACTTAACAAAACTCGATGCTATACTCACTGATGCTATTGATCTGGGCCCTTCTTATACTAGTCTCCACTGGATGCAAGTGTGAAGGAAATGTGGTGGCTCATAAATTAGCAAAGTTTCTTCCTCATGGCCTAGAACAAGTTTGGGAGAATTTTGTCCCTCATGTTATTGCCCATTATGTACACATGGATTTCCTTGCTATTAATGGTTAAGCTTTTTGCTCACCTTCAAAAACAAAAAAAAGCT